TGTGCTGACAACAAGAAAGTATGCAAAGCTTCGTACAAGCAGAGCAGAACATAACCTTTGGATATTTTGTCTTTGCCTCATTTGAATCACATTCTCGCCAAGCCTGTTCTTCCCTATATTACAAGTAGCCCTTGATGAAAAATAGAAAAAAAGACTTTTTTTTTCTTTCTGTTTTTTCTTTTGGTGTCTCTTTATATGCTTTGCATTGGTAACTTGCAAGAAGACAAGCTGCTTGGGTAGAAGTTCTTCAAAAATCTGTTTTTAGCAAGTTTGCCAGAACATGTCACTAGTGAAACCAAGGGCAAAACTTACGACCAGTGCCCTGAGAGCAACTCACTTCTGGCTGCCAGGCTCATCTTCTTTTCAAACTGTTCTGGCAGTTTCCCTTCACCCCTCACGGGATGCTGCCAGCAGCCCTGGTAAGTCTCCCCCAAATGCCAAGAGCTGCTCTGCTCCTCTACTGAGCAAGTGGGGCTCAGAGCACTCTGAGGCTACTGGCCCACCGTGCCTGTCCTCTGGGCTTATCTCAACTCTACCCCCGGTTTTGTCACTGTATCCTTCAATCCCCTCTCTCCCCATAAAAGTGTCTAGCTGTCTCTTAAACTCACTTTACCATTTGCTTCTTTGACCTCACTTGGCAACTTATCCTTGTGTTTATTATTTGAGGTGGAATAGTTCTGGCTACATTCCTGGTTTTACTCTTAATTGTCTAATTTTTAGAATGGTGTCAGTGGGGTTGGGATTTGGGTTTGGGGTTTTTTTTAGCTCATCGCTTTTGTGACCAGGTCTTCTGTTTCATTAGGCTCCTTCGTGTCATCAGGACTTCCAATAACTAAAAGAATTCTAATGAATCTTTTATTGGATCTTCCCAAATATTGCAGCTGAGCTTTCTTGTCCATTAGTGCCATTCTGAACTGCATACACTGCCTTTAATTACTTTGTTGTTAATTGGAGGGGAGGGAGGAAAGAGGAGGATTTTCTCCAAGCAAGGAAGAGTTCCCCAGCTGAAAAGCTGCGAGATTCTCCCCAAGAGGAAAGTACAGACAGGGCTGGAGCAGGACTGAGGAGCAGAACTTTTGCACGTCCTCCAGCAGCACACCTCCACCCGCTGGCTGCCTTTGTGCACCCACCTAGGGTCCAGGTGCTGTGTCCAGGCTGCTCCAAGGTGTGGGGCTGCAGGCACCTTCTCAGAGTCCCTTGGTCCACTCCAGAGCCTTGTTGGGCTTTTGGACACGGTGCTGGGAGCAGCTTGCTTATCATATTGGATTTGCTGTTGGGTCACACTGATGATGGGAAGAGACTGCACATGACAGCGCTCTCTCAGTGCCTGTCTGAGGGAAGGAGGAAGAAACACTGGTTTAAGGCACCTACCCGCATCTTCAGAAACTGTTCCCAGTTGCTGTAGGGCTGGTTGATGGAGCAGTGAAATGAATCCTACTGACATCCTGAAACAGATAGGCCTGGTTGGAGTGGCTTCTAAAATGAACAACTCACCTAACCCACCAGGGCAAGAGAAGGAAAGAGCTACCTCTTTGTGATGTCCCCCCATCCCTTACAGGAACCAGAACCTGTCTGAAGGATGGACTGCCTTCGGGTTGGTGGCCAAATTGCAGCAAGGTAATGTCTTTGTCCTCCTGTTTGGTCAGTACAGTCTGTACACTTAAAGAATATGACATGCACCAAAAGAATGATCTTCTGGTTACAATTTAGGCAGGTTAGCTCTCGTTTTCCTAAAGCAGAAAGGACACTCTGCTGGATTCACCTACCTTGAAAAAACCGGTGCAAGTGAACCCTTGAATCTCAGCTGACACCATCAGAGAGAGAAGAGATCACATTCCCTTTCCGACCCAGCGTATCTTGTACATAATGAAGTGACAGGAAAAAGTACAAGTGTTATCTACATAATTAACACTGTGCATTCTGGGGAGCTGTGGAAGCTACAGGACAGGGACAGTATGCCAGTCACAGTACGACATTAACCACCAGCCAAAATAACATCGGTCACTATTTTCAGTTCAAGAACAGAGGGCAGAGGTATAAAAGATTTGCTCAATTAATCGTGGGACTGAAAATTTTCCAGAGAGCTAGGGATACTTGTAAGATATAATAGAGTGCAGTCCCCTCGTCTTTCATATGGAGGTCAAGCCCACAGAAACTCAGCCTGCTGAGCAGTTTCTGCTTGCTGCAAAGTGAGGAACTACATGCTGCAAGGACCAGCATCTGGGGGCTGCTTCTGAGAAATTCATGTAGTAGAGCACTTCAAGAAAGGTGGTTACCTTGCTGACAGAATCTTGAGAACAGGGAAATGAAAGGGAGAGACATAAAATACCTCTCATGACAAAGACTGTAAAATAACTAGGAATAAAAATTTCAAAAATCTTGTAAACATTTACCATTGTCTTCACTGCACTCAGAGGGTGGGGGGACATAGTGATCATCAAACAACGAAGCAATAAGTACTTGCATTGAACAAGTGGCGACAGCAAAACTAAATGACATGCTCTGTCACTCATCAACCCACGCTTCATTTTTTGTAGCCATCTACCGTTATTTTTTGGCATGCAACTCACTAAGCAGCGAAAGCATGGCTGTAGTTATTTACAGGTCACTGGAAGTCTGGCTGCAGTGGAGTTTTGGTTGTATTTCACAAAAGAGAGTTTTATTTTTGTTCGACTAATGCAGGCACAACTGGAGGCTGATTTTTCTTTTTTTGGCTTTTAGTATAAACACTTGTGGCAGCCTCTATTTTGGGTGCAGACTGAAAAACAGATTGTTTTGTAGCTGCACAAGACTTCTGGGTAAATCAGAGGACACTGTTATTGCGACTGAACTTTTCTCTCAAGAAAGCAGGAGGAGTTGCTTTATTTTTTAATTCTGTGCAGTTTTATGTACACCATTCGCTCCAAATATTTGATGTTTGCCACACTTGTTATGAGTTTCTCCAGAGAGATGCTGTCTTTTGGCAGCAAGAGATAAAGTTGACTGATACAAATGAGTCACAGTACACCAACAGTAATTAACAGTGATGCAATACCCATGCGAAAAAGAGGACTTGAAGAATTAACTGTTGAGTTTTCTTGACGATGCAGCTGCACTTTAAGAGAGAAAGCTCAACCCATCATAGAACTCCATTGTGTACATTAGAGAAAAAAGCTTGGCAAGATACATTAAAGATTTTTGCTAAAGAGATACAAATATTTTGCAAGGTCAAAGGGCGCTGAGGCAGGCTGTACTTACTTCCAAAGAAAAGTAGGCAGTATGACAAAGAAACAGTAATATTTTTTTATCTTCATTTTCACACTTCATCATCTAAGAAAGACTGTCTTTCTCAACCTGCTGAACTGATTTAAGCCATCCCAACTCTAAGTTAACTTTTACTTAAAAGTCAGTCCATGACATCCTAATCTAAGTTATCTGCGCTTATGGTTTCCGCGCAGTTCTACAGAAGGCCAGCACTGCTTTTTATAAAGGCTGTTCTATAAAGTTCTTCTACACTTCTTACAGGTTGAAAGGAAAGGAATAGTTTGGGAAGAAGATGAACGATTGAAGCAACTGTTTTATAGCGCAATATGAAACTTGACACTGTTTTCTGCTGCCAGTATGATTCCCAAGTGAGATGGATAAATTGTGGTCAAGACCTGGACAGGTTAACTAGTGGTCATCTGTGCTGGTGGTACCTTTATATACAAAAAAAAAAAGGATACTATTGGACAGGGCATTTGAAATTTAATACCAGACATGAAACAAGACATCTGTTGGACTCTCATTTGTTTCTCTTTGAATGGGCTTTAATTGAAAGCTCAGTGAAAAATGCAGGTTACATTCTTAGTGTTATCAATAGTTTGTAACAGCAACAACATCAGAACAGTGATGCATCTAATATTTATACACTTTCTAATTTTAGATGTCTAAGAGCAATACATTATCAGATATATATATATATACACACAATTTCAAGCAATTAGAAGTAAATAATAAACCCCTCCTCCCAAAACGCTGAAACAATATATTTCCTTACACTAATAATGTCTTCTTCACATATACTTGACAAAGAGTCTTTTTAAGTTACTTATCTTAAGAGTAATCTGTTAATGGAGATCCTGGACCAGCCCCATTAAAAGTTCAGTTTTAAGTTTATACAGCTTGCTAGCCACATAACCAGTGTGGCTTTACATTGTAAACAAATCCCAAATGTCTACAATGATTGGAATTAGTTTTGTGTAAAGGAGATCTATGCATCTCATGATAGAATAAATTTAAACCAATACATTAAAAAGAGAGAGAGAAAAGTAGAGAGTTATTTGACAAAGAGTTTGGGGGGATCAATTATGTGATTATTTAAAAAACAAGTTATCCTCATGGTAAGATCCTTGTCTTCTGTACAGAGAGGTTCTGGTTCATCTCGCTTTAGCTGCTCTAGAAATACGTTCTTTTAAAAAGGTTTGATTTGTGAAATTCAAAAGCAGAGCTTCCAACTTTAAAAGCTTGCCCTTTGGCAGCACGAGTACAAAGTTTACCAAAAGTATCTCAGGTGATTGTTCCATTTCACTTTATGAGGACAGCTGTACAAGCGTTTGGAAAGCTCAGCATACGCAGAGATGCAGTAAGCAGAACGCTTACCTTCAGCAGAGAGGAATCGCCCTACCCACTGCAGGACTTAAAAAGGTACAACAATATGTACCTAGAAAAGTTCAAGTGAAAATAAAACCAGAAAACTGGAGACAGATGTGGAAGGTAAGCATAGTTTAATCTTGAAACTGTGGCAATCCCGCTTACTTTTTAACAAAATTAGAAATAAAAATCTCTTGAATTTATTGAATAGGAACTTGTGTAAGTCCAAATGGAAGACAAGGCTGAGCAGAATCCTACGGTTTAGTTAACTTGTGTCAAATGGGATGCGAAGACAGCTGCAGCTTTCTGACAGAGGTGATCGAAGGTGGCTGATAAAGTTTGCAGTAGCTCATAATGTCCCATCTGGTTTATTCACTTGTTTGAACTGTCTAAAGGGCCAACTGCAGTTTAGTCATGTTCCTCTGGTGCATGTTGTGATGACGAACTAATTCATCAGACCTTGCAAATTTTTTTTGACAGCTGGGCCACCGGCAACTGAAAGGCTTTTCACCTGTTAACAAAACACCCTGTTATTCAGTGGGTATACAGCTTGCCTAAGACATTGCTATTTGTTTTCTTTCTGCGGGGTTGTGAGGAGCTAGGCAGAGCCCCTGTCAGGAGGAAAGGCATCCCGGGCTGTCCTGAGAGGGCGTGGGAGTGCCCTCAATTTCTGCTCACACCAGTGCTCAGTGCTTTCTTACATCTCCCGCAGCTGATGTTTAACAACAGCCTTTTCCAAGGACGCAGAACATTTTGCAGTGGCTCACTCCTGAAGACAGGCCCTTACTGAACACCGTGTTGCCATGTCTGTGCTACTCTCAGCTCTCCAACAAACCAGTTTAAAAGTCACTCTGGCATTCGCACAAACTTCAGTCACACCTTGGACTGTGGTGCAGACACACTGTTAGTCACTGTGAAAATTGTCAGTGACTATTTAGAGCTTGACCTCAAGTCAAGGGAGTTTTTCCAGCTAGTTCAACGAATTTTGTCTGAAGTTCTTTGAAACTGGTGAGTGTAAGTGAATATGGTAGAAGCAACAGAGTTCAGCATAAAGTCTGCTAAGCCAGACTGAAAGCTTCCCGCTACTGTCTAAATAAAGTAGATTCAAATCTATGGGAGATGTTAAAGGCTCAAAATATTCAGTATTTTCCTAACATTCCGACAAGCATAACATTCACTAAATATTACCCCAGTCAAAGCACACTCAATTTTCACAAGAAATGCCATCACCTTTTTACAGTTTAATCTGGTCTCTTCATTTTCTACAACGTTTAAGTGGAATTTCAGGCCGTGTTTCTGATGCCGCAGGAGTGCTGATGGAATGCTTTCATTAGCTCAGAGCAGTGCCCAGTGACTCATGTTTCTTTTAGACTTGCATTTTCTTTTTTTTTTTCCCCCATCTAGATGCAATATTTTAAAGCAGGTTCAGCTCTGGGACTGGGCTCTTCTGTGCTGTCTACACACCTCATACTCTCCAACTCAAGAGGGTTGTACGAGCTCACCCAGCCATCTTCTTCTCTTCTTTGCCTCACACTTTGTGCATTTCACAAACATCCAAATTCAGGCAAAACGGGATCTGGGATTGGCATAAATGTTCATTTCTGTTTCAAAATCCCATGCAATATATATAAAGCGGGGGGTAAAAGCTACTTTATCCACTCAACATACATGCTGGCAAAAGCATCAACTATTTCACATGAGTGCATAAAATAGCAGGGGACAAAACTGATCTAGTCAGAGCTACTGATAAAACTCACAGATTGTATAAAGGGGTCTTCTTTCATCTCAACAGCATTAGAAAATCCTGTGAGCTGATGTCAGTTATCTATTATTGTCCAGTTTTTCACTGAACTACCACAGTACAAGCAGCACAGGTTTGGTGTTTCACAAGCACTTCTGGTTGTCCACTCACAACAGGGGGCAGAAATCTCTGTTAGTTCTGTGCTGGGCACAAATTGCTTTGTACAGGCATCAGAAATCACATCTCCATTGCTAAAATGAATATAGATGTGTGGAGTTTTCCTTTGATTCATTTTTTTGCTTCCTAAAGCAAAGATTGTTGTCACCATAAAGTCGTTTGTGGAGACAAAAACTCATGAATTTATAGCTTAACAAATGGTTTGGCAGTTAGCTTAAAATTCGGACGGAATTAGATGGAAGTTACGTGTGCTTTGCTTCATCAAGATTTAGCGTGGAGGAAGTTACCTTAAGCTAGGTGTTTTGTTGCAAAATTTAGGGGGTAAAAGAAAGAGGAATGAAGCTACAGGGTAAGATGGAGATGAAAAATCCCCACCCACCACTTCTGCTCATTCCCCTCAGGATGTGCGTATTCTGCAGTCAAAGGAGCATGACACATCCAAAACTGCCAACAGGAGCATGGTCAGAGCAGCACGCAGCTGGGCTGCAGAGCCTGCGCAGAACCTGAGCCAGGGGCAGGCAGCGAGCCCACGCAGAGGTCTATGCCATGAGGTTATCAGTGCTCAAGTGAGGCTGCTTTCAGCACTGAGTGCACTGTGTGCTTGGATCGCATGGAGCAAGGAAGAACTAGAACAGGGAACATGAGTTGCACTAGAAAAAAGAAGGTTCTTCACTGATTTAGCTAATCTGGGATAACAAATTACTGGACTCATGAAAAATCATGAATTAGCAGATCAGTTAGCAATGAAATATGATGGGGAATGTAGTTTATCCTGACTTGCTAGCAAGTGACAACCACTTGCCCTTTTGTCTCTACCAGAATGTTACCTGTTGCTGATTAAGAAGATACCTTTCTTCATGCAAATACACACAGACCCAGGCTCTGCAGCTCAGCGTGAGACTATGGAGAGAACTCAGGAACACAGCTGTGCCCTTTACCATTTGCAGATTGCAAGTGTAGCTACAGCCATTACTTGAAGCATTTATTTGGCCAGTGCCACAGAAAATGACATTATTCTTAGGTAAATCATTTCCTTTATTAAAATTTATCTTTTATGTTTAAAGTCTTAAATATGTGGTTTTATGGTCCAGAAGAGAAAAAAGAATCCTTAGCAGTGAGAAAAAGATTTTCAGGCTCCTTGTCCATCTGTACAGAGACTGAATTTAAAAGGTTAACACCAGTATAGAAAACACTGTGACATCTAACAGCATGTCAAAGTGCTCAGTAAACAATTAGTAAAAATATTGCATACATAGTGGAAGGGAACAGAAAATGTCAGTTCATAGGAATGATTCTAAAACTTAAAACTAAAATATAGAGGTTGCTAGAGTTGCTCCCTAATTATGTTTACATTTATGTGAAGGCAGAGTAGACTAAAATGGCCTCCTATTTTTTCCCCTGCATTTATATGAAATACTATGGTTTCTACAAAACGGTCCTTGAATATTTGAGTAAGCTTTTACTTTAGTGTCTGTCAGTGTGAGTTTGCAAAAGGCACTCCTTTTATCTTTTGGAGAGATTACAGTACAAGCAGCAACAGCAAGAGCTTTGCCGTGCTATCCTGCATTAGGCTCAACTGACACTTAGAAGAAGCATGAGTAGGCACGAATACTTGAGATTACAGACCTTCAGCTGAAGCTAGAATTAAAATTTCTATCTTGTAGGGATTTTTCAGTAAAGGCAGTAGATCAACTTGACATTTGTGGGCCGAGATCATCATGTTCATTTCACAAGAGCTGACAAAATACATTTTGCTAAGCTGAAATTTCTTTAAACATTAAGAAAGAAAGAGTAGTTTCCAAAATCACCTAAATCCCTTTGTGAAAAGTAAATATGGCACTTGGGGAATGTAGTCACACTGAAAAATCATCACATTCTGAAATTCTTTCTGTTGTTCTGAATATTTAAATCCTAGTTAAGAGACTTTTTAATCATGTAATTTACAACATTGATTTAAACTTAAAAAATAATGAAATATAAATGTGAAGAAAAGTTTACGCACTTGTTTTACCTGTATGAGTCCTGGTATGAGTCTTCAGATGATCAGATCTGGAGAACTTTCTCTGACAGGTTTTACACTGGAAGGGTTTCACACCTGAAAAGGCAAAAGAAGTCTATTCTTAGATCCCAACACCTTCTGGAAGAGTAAATAAAATCAGCTATTTCTGAATTTTCAAAAGCCTGGATTTTTTTTTTTTTTTGTACTAGTTACTTAACTGCTCATCCCAGCTTCATGCCTACACATTACAGGAAGTCATTAATCGGGCTACCATCCCTTTGTAGCCTCCTCTTCCAACATCTGGTCTGAAGTATCCAAACAGCAACATCATAACCAAACACCCACTTAACTGTTGGACTAAGGAGGATCTGTAAACTTTGTTAATTCTGATCCTGTGGCTTGGAGCTATTGCTAACATGTATGAGCAAATATGACATAAGCAGAATAGAGGAGCAGAGGTATATTTTTAAACACTCCCAATAGGTTTAACTCACTTTACACTTCCACTACTTACTTTACACACTCCATAAAAGTCTTTGGGGAATGCCTAACACAGGTATGTTCTAGCATGCAGCTGCTAAAAATGTATCATCCCAGGAGAGTACTTGTACCACTCACTTTCAGAGACACTTCCTACATCTCTCAATAACACTGTTTAAGTAGGATCAAACATCTTTAGCAAGGAAAGTAGTAGGTAGAAATCCACCACAGAACAGGGAGTAAACTAATTGCGAGGCCAGTCTCTGAGATACAGGAGATCCAAATGCAACTTCTTGCCATGACTCACCCAGAGAGGTACTCTGAAGCTCTTTCTCATGTTTCATGCAGAGTGCCCTCATGGTTCCACTCCCAGACAGGAGGCTGGAGTCATCACCAGCTCCTCTTATGTGACTTTGAGAAGGGCACCTGTCTCCATCAATCTAATCCTAACTCCTAAAATGCTGAAATGGGCTGTCTTGACCTTTCCAGAAAATGGTGAATATGCAAAAAACAACTTGCTGAATTTGGACTGAACTCACAAATAGTTTTGGCTGTCTCAGAACATTTCACCCAGTAAATGATTCACTGAGAAAGACACACAAGTCCAGCTAGGACCCACACCCGCTCAGGACTGCTGCTGTATGTAACCTCCTATACACTTTGTAGGTCATTTGTGCAATCCAACCAGCCAGATAGATCTTGGACATTTCTCTCCTTGCTGCTCCTAGAATCCTTCTTTAGTTGGCAGAATTTAAAAAAGGCTCAAATCTAAGTGTAAGTGGTTTGCTGAATTATAATCTCAAGTATAATAGCTGGTGTGACTTTTCTTCTCCACTTCTGTTTTCCACATATAAGTGCACAGCAATTCCACCAGCCTTTCAGGTTATGCACATGCAGTATTCACCTATTACCATTACCACACAAACATGGAAATACCAGCACTAGTGTTTATCAGGTTAGACATAGGCAACTTTTCCTTGCAGAACTGTTTGTTTTTTGAAAAATAAAACATTCCCTATATTGGGGATAGAGTACAGAGCAAACAGTTTCATTAAGAAAACTGTTTCAAAAAGATGGCGGCAGGATGTCACCTATACAACCACAGTAGTGCTGAAATGCCAATTAAAAAACCCAAATATAGTCCTCTCCTAAAGCTAACTTCAAGAATTTGGCACTTACAGGTATTGTGTATGAGCAGACACAACATCAGAAAATACAAGTTGAGAAGTATATTCTTTCTGAATCACAATTCACATATGAAGATGAACTCTAATGAGCAGAGATACGCTGTCAACAAACCTGTGTGTCGTCTTTGGTGCCGTTTGAGTTGGTCTGAACGAGAAAATCTCCGTTCACAGTCCTTAAAATCACACTGATAGGGTTTTTCACCTGTAAAGGACAAACAGTTATTAGAAAATGTGGCTAAGTGAGGGAACAAATCAACCAGAATCAGAAGATGAAACGTGTTACATTAAAAGACTTCTCTCCTGTTTTAAGCAGTCTAGTGGAACACCAGGACTCATTTGCTATAAAACCATACAGCTGCGTTGGAATCAGGGGGAAAAGGCTGGCACCATTCTACTGCATTGACACTGATATTGAATCTGCTCATTCTAAATAAAATAGACCACTAGGTTAAAGCTACAACAAATTTCAGGTTGCACGAATTTTTTATTATTATTTTCTGCTGGAAAAGAACAGAAATCTCTTGTTTTATATTTTATAAAAATAAATAATAATTAAGCCCTTTACACCTGTTTCAATAACGCATAACTTGTACAAGGAAACAACTTGCAGTTTGGTCTACATTGGATTTGAAGCAAAAATTAAACAAATTACATCCATGTAGGTGGTAATTTTAACCATACTAAATGGATTAAAAGAAAATGAAGAGCAAAATTCAACCACAGAAAAATACATTCTTCCCCAAAACACAAATGAGGTTTCTTCCATAAAGCACCTTAAATAGAATTTCCCATGTAGCTGCACACCTCTTGCAGGGAAGCCTATGAATTATTGCAAAGCCTCATGTAAATATAAACTCTTCCTCCACCTCCCATACAGCTCAGCAGAGACCCTCAGGATGGATTTTCTCTGGGACAAAAAGTGAGACTTTGACTTTTTAAGAAAAATGAAATCCCTACAAGCTAGCTTCTCAAGTGATGATGGTTTTCAACGCAAAGGACTTCATCAACCTCATAAATGTGCAAAAAAAAATGCAGCCACAGAAGAGCCTGAGGAAAGAGGGAACCACTGCTGGCATGTAGCATACCACCGAGCTGGTGAAATCTGGCTGGCACAACAAAACCCAACCCTTAGGCTGTTACAGGAGGAGCTGTGGGATCTTTCAGATCTGATTCACATCCAGGCTAAGGCCCCTTTGCACATCACTGGAATCCTGCAAGAGCCTCAGATACAATTACATCTATACCTACAGACAGCCTGTTTACAGTGCCACAGCCCTGCGCAGAGGCCTCAGCACAAGAAGTATTGAAACAACTCTCACTGCAAAGCTGGGAGAATCCTGGGTTTTATCTGGAAGGTACATGAGACCAGCTGGGACCTGCTTTGCCTACGGTGGAAAGCTGAGATGTAAAACAAAGGCCCAGTAGGAAGGACCTAAAGAAAAACATCAGCTGAAGTGGTCAGTGGGTTTAATTTCTCTGGGTGTATTTTAACACTTACCACTTTCATAAATCTTCATTGCAAGTGTCTACATTTCTGATTTTATTATGATGAGGAGATGTATTCTCTTTGCACTGGTATTCCAAGATATCAGTGCAAACTATTTCAGTTTAAAGCAGAAGCATTCTGATCTAGGTAACACCATACAAGTAGCACATTAATAAGAGGATTCCAAATTCATACTGGTGTGGCTAAGATCAAAATTTCACAAAAGCAACTAAATCTGCAAGAACAAGCCAACTTCCTGTGACAGTCACCCAGAGGAGTTTACTGATTCTCAAACCTAGGTGTGGACAATTTCCATGTCTGCCCTGCTTAATTTATTAGCATAAGGGATTAAAGTTGCCACAGGTGTTTGAAATAGTTCCGTACACTTTGACCGCAAGGACTCCCTGGGGGGTGCCTGCTTTTCAGAAACCACTTACTTCCAAGGAATTCAGCCCTTTGGCAGATTTAAGAGGGGGAATGTCAGCCGAGCAGAATGCAGTGACAGGATGATTGTCTGCTAATTGCAATATAAATGCAGAAGATGGTTAAGGAGGTTTTTAAATAAAGCAGTATACCGGGTCTGATGGCATGCACACAAAAGTATTTCTTTAAATACTTTGAAATATAATCTTTGGTTAAATTTGTCCTGAATTTAATCATGCATATATTAAAGGAATCAATCCAAGATGTTTACACAGAGATATGATGACACTACATAGAAAACAAAAAGCAAACAAACAAAAAGAGGCACAATATTTGGACAGAAATCCTAATTTCCCATTCCTTCTACATCTTCCATGTCAGCTAGTGCCAAGCAAAATGCCTGCCAAAGCCAACTGTCACATACCTGCTAACTCCCCTAAGTTTTATCAGAACAGGACGACAGAAATGTCCCAGATTAGAAAAAGTCTGTTAGTACCTCATTAAATCACTATATGAAGAGGGGTCAGAGCAGTGTCTAGTTTCTCCAGGCCTATTAAAGCCTCTCCAGTAAAAGGCTAAAGTCTCTTAATGTATGAAAAATATCCCATAATGCTTTCACCTTCCTATGTGACCACATACAATTTCAAATCAAAACAGGAGATGAAGGCAAAGCTTCACCAGTCCTCCCACCTGTGACTTGTAAGCTTCCATGATTATTTACATTTAATTACTGAAAGAGGACACACAAAAGAAAAGCTAAACTTAGTGTATAATGAAATAGTCAAGATGAGAGAGAACAGAGGCAATAGCAGTTCTTTAATATTTATGAAAATTTTTAGAAAAAATAAAGCTCAACAATCACAGAACAACTATGAATCAGCCTTTGCATATATCACAACAAATGCTTCCAATAAAATAAACCCATTTGCTCAAAAATAGTTAAACTAGAGGAAGCATGCACATTTTCTCCAGAGAAAATTAATTTGCCCAGGTACATGGGAAACAGAAATTCCTACTGCTGTACCAGTTGCACAAAATATTCATAATCACTGCCTTTAATTAAGGAGTGCTGCAAGAGCAAAAGCCTGACGCTAACAAGAAAACATGGGGAGAGGAGACCGATTTTGAAACCAGAGACTGCAAGTCTGAATGAGAATCTAAAGGCTTGTCTACACTCCCTTCAGCAGTTTAAACCCTTTTTCTTGTGTACCCACTTAATCAAACAAGCACAACCCCATAATCACAACTTTCCTCACTAATACAACATTTTTCTCTTCAGTATCATTTGCTTTAGCAAACTTAGATAAAACACATGTTTCTTTATTTAGTAGGGAGCCTTTATAGGTAACTGTCGCTGTCATCTTCACATTGGAGTTCAGGTGTGAGATGTCATGACTGTTTTGAAACTTATCTTGTATTTCAAATACATAACTATTCTTATTTCATGCCATAGAAATTAAAGCCTAACAGCAGTCCATGCTGGGTGAAGGTCCATCCAGCCCAGCAGCCTCCCACCACGGCTCACCAAAGATGCCTGCAGGAGAGCAGAAGACAGCAAGGATGCAGCAGTACTTTCCCTGGACACTCTCCTGGTATCCCACAGTTCATGAGTTCACAACGTTCTGAGCCAAAGGTGGCCGTCTATAGAACACCATTAATGGAGTTCCCTACCATTAGTTTGTCCAGTTGTCTCTTGAACCCATCTAAGCTTCCAGCTTAGACAGCATTCTGCAGAATGGCTTTCCATTGCTTAAGTATGAAGGTCAGTATTTCAAAGCAACATTAATGAAGAGGTGCTAGCCTAGAAGTTACCACACTAGCCTTGTAAGAGGAGACCTTGTGCAGTGCCCAGCACAGGCACAATTACACCTATTTCTTGATTTATCATCTCTGTATAGAGAGGACAAAGCTCTGTCTTTCAAAGGTGGTGTAATGATGAACTGCACCAATGACTGTAGGGCATTTAGCAGCACATGCCATAGCAAAAGGATATTTGCTTTTGTCAAAGCAAATAAATCATTATTAGATTACTGGCATCAAAATCATTATTAGACTGTATTACTTAAACTCCTTAGACCCTCAGAAATTCACCACCAAGAGCTGAGCTCCCTACCACATACTTCCCGCTTTACAGATTCTCATACTCCATTGTAGAAACTCATGCCTGCAGGTGAGAGTATTTAAGCTGAAGGATATCCCTGGCAAACAGGCAGAGGATGTTTTCTCTGCAAAGATGCTCAGCTTTCTGTTAGGATAAATCCAGTTTTTCCAATGTGTGGCACTGAACCCAAAGGGTCTCTGGCAAGAATGTTGACGTTTCCACCGTAAATGAAATTTATGGAGGTCTAGACATCAATTTGTTTCTACAAAGAAGTCTCTGAAGTCTGCCACAGGATGACAACTCACATTAATTGCTGCACTGTTGAAAAGTTGTATGTATTTTTGCATTTCCCTTCAGAGGCCTATCTACTGCAGCAAAATACATCAAGATAAGAAAAAAGCTTTTTTGGCTATACATGTTTCAATAGAGGCATTGTTAACAATGGCTAAGCAGTCTTGGAGGGTACAAAATGTCAACATATTTTCAACTAAGACTATGTTGAAACATTGGTAAAAACTGATTGCAGAATCCAATTTTGTGTTTCAGGGCCCTGCTTGATTTTGCAATACTTTAGCCAGTGAAGAATGGAAGATCTGATGAGCCAATCTTCTGTAAGTATCTATTACAGAAAGAAAAAAGGTAATCAAGAGCCAACATCATTCCGCAAAGATACCAGCTGCTGGTTTAACATTAGATATATGTAACAGCTTGTTTTCAAATCCTGTGTTCAGAATTTTAAAAACTGACCTACTACTACACTACGAAAGGTGGAAGAGCTTCAAACCCTTGAGTGAATCCAGAACCACCTTACAAGAGGACTAGTAAAATTTTACACTGGCTGTAGAGAGGTACACCAAACACAGCAAAACTATCCTCCACTTGAGCTGACATCTGACAGCTCTCCTGACTTTAGACTGGCTCATCAGGATTCCTCCCCATCAAAAAACTGAAGCAGAAAGAGATGAGACACATCTCTTTGTTTAATAAGAATATTAGGTGTTATGGTTGCCAGCTACTTTCTAATATGCTAATTCCACCCAGTCCTATTTCTGTACCTAGTTGAGAACTCTAGAATGGGGTTTTAGAGTTCACTGGGTTACAAACAGAAAGATGATCGGAGAGCCTAAGAGAGAGCCACATAATTATCAACATAAACCAACAGCCTCCCTCTAGTCATACTGGGCCCTTACAATATCCCCCAATACATATAACCAAGCAGGTGGAGAAAAGAAAGAAGATGCAGAGAAGAGTGAACTGCAGCTACGGTAACTGTTAGCAACAAGACACATATATTCTCCATAGCAGTTATTGATCTGCCCTTGGAGAAAACTGTTTTCCAAATTTTGCTTTTCATGATCAGCAAAAACAAGCTTTGGGAATCAAGTTGGCCTCTTATGGAAAGCAACTTGCAAAGGTTTGAGAAATAAACAAGTTTTGCTGTCAATTTATCAAAATACAGTGGCAGAAAATCTGAGCTCACCTGTACAGAAGAGTTGTTTGGGGGGTTGGGGGGGAACCCATTTCTATTATACCCTGTTCCACCATCACATGAACCAAAGGAGAAGGAAGGGGCATGCATGACCTTGAAGACAATGGGAGAAGTCTCTCTAGGGATGCTAGATGGCCACAGTCCTATCCCCTATGTCTTTTGTGGCTCTACATGCCTAGATTATTTGCGGAATAATGCTGGAAAATATAATGCTCCAGCTAAGGGGAAAAAAAAAAGATGTAAGACTAAGTCCTTGTGATGCATCCAGAAATAATATTGTGAAAGCCAAGCAACTACATGGAGTAAAATAGAGGACCAGAAAAACAAGTTATGACTGTTATAATGCAGAGTAAATCACTTTAGGAATGAAAGAAATAGTGATTAGAAGAAAAATTCAGAACTGTTTAGGCATATTCAAGAAAAATACCGCAGCTAATGGACCCCGAAAGATCTCCAAAAGAAGATTCACAGCCCTGACTGATGCTCTATAAGAGTTAGAGAGGGAGGGAGGCGATCTACTTGCTGTCAGCACTGCTCTGTGTTTTTCTTCACTAGATTCAGAGAGTCCTCTGCATCCAAAAGAAGGATTGCCCAGATGACAGAGCACATACATACCTCATCTGACAGATTCTCGCTCCCCCTGACCTGGCAGATCATTCTTGCACCTTATGCTATTTAAAAATCACCCTGCCCACTTTGCTGTAACATAATTCATAGCAACCCATGCTGACACTTACCAGTGTGCTTTCTGCTGTGCATCTGTAAATGGGACAACTTAAAGTATCGCTTGTTACAGCCGGGGTACGCACACATGAAGGGACGCTTTTCATTCGTCTCACTGGCCGATCGGACAATGGTTGGAGCTACCCCTGGCACCCGTCGGACGTCCTACAATGACAGAGACCTGCTAAGACAATGTGTGTGTGTATGTCCTCAAGCTTTCACTTGACATATTCAAAGACAAACAATCAGAGCCACTTCTCCAGGACAAAGAGATACTTAAATATATTATACTGTAAACAGGCAATTTTATTTTATTCTACATTAACCAAGTACAACCTTAGTACACCTTAATTGTTCTTTGCAGAGTATTAGAATTATTTGAAGGTTCATACAGTGATCCCTACTTATTAAATTCTCTCACCAATATTTATATGCAAGATTAAATGGGACACATTCTGACCTCATGTACAATCACCCACTCCTGGAAGAACGCTCATTGGCATGTGAAATAGCTTTAGGCTTATACCAATGTAAGAGATAAGAGCAAGAGCCAGAGTAGCATTCTCCTCTTCATTTTAAATACTCATATGAAGTTAAAGGACAGAGAAATTAATGCACTGGGTTAATACAAATTGGCAAAAAAACAAAAGGAAGACTGTCTAGGTGGAGCTGGTGAATAGTTCAGCCTTAAGGCATTTTGGCCACTGTCACAATGTTCCATCAAAGATGATCTTCTCCTTCTGGGACAATTAACTTCCTTAAACAATGTCATCTGCTTGCTTTTATTCACTCAACAAAAGTTGGCTCACGAGCCTATTTCTGAGAGCTTGCCACTGAATAATGGCTTGTTAAATTACACAGAAAAGGAAAAGGAGAAAAGATGCTGTCTAAAAACACTGATGTATGCTGACAACACAGAGCAACACAGAAGAGACAAATATTAACTAACAACTTTGCCACCAGTTTTAAGAGGGTATATCTTTTACAATGGTGTTTATTGATGATATGACTGTTTCAGAAAGGAAGGAAATTAACTCCCATAATGGTAAGTTCCTTACAAATATTCACTAATTACTCAGTCATTAGGAAACAATTACTTATTATATTTTATTTTAAGGAAATATGTTTGAATTAGTAAAGTTTCAAAAAACTGTAATAGCAAAATATCATCTAACACCTTCTTATATGTAGTTATCAGATGCAGTCCTTTGTAACCACAGAAGCTTCACGTGGCTAAAGTGACTGGAGACAGAAGCTGGAAACTGGACTGTATATTTTGGACCATCCTCAGAAGCTGGTAAGGAATATTGCCTCACAGATGTATTTTAGAAGAAGAAATAAACAATTTTAAGTGACTGTGTCAGAAAGAAATCTTACATTATAATTCAGTGGCTTTGGTGAAGTCAGGACATTATGTAAAGCCTTTCTTGATAACACAGGGAAACGGCAAATCAAGGATGGATTTATAAATATCAGTGAAGAAGTAAATGAACATTACAAACAGGCAGCAGTTTTACTTCCCTATGGAGAATGTCCTACTATACTCACTTGTATGCCTCTAAAAACTCCATGGGTGTGTATTCTGTACTGGGCCCCACAGCTGTACAACATGGGAGCACTGTGGTTCTCATTCTCATATCCTGCTGTATGCCTGCAAATAAAGAGGGGAATAATGGAGAAATTACATATTTTTCAGTACTCAGCTCCATGTGAGAGGTTTCATTTCTTAAGTTGGTGATAACATATGCAGAGTTCGCTTTTATAGCCCCAAGTTCAAATGAAATTCACCAAAGGAAATCTGCTCTGCCTTCATATAGATCTGCTCCTGCTGGCACAATGCATTGACTCCACACATATATCTCTTAGTATCCATTAAGACAGTCCAGGAAAAAAAGAAAATTGTCATTATTTGAACTCTGATGTATTTCCACACAGATTTTAGGTAAGAGGAAAAAATCCACATAGCAGCATAACTGTGTCATGTGCACAAGTACACGTTATTTATCAGTGAAATGTGGGGCTGGCTATTGCTAATATCTTTTGGAATGAGCAAAATGCCTCAAGTTTCACATTAAGTGCAGTGGATTTTTGTCAGCACCTCATGACTCAGATATTACCAGATACTACCAAGCAAGTGATGACATTTATAAGAATAGCAGTCATGTACTCATAAACAGAGATTACAAATCAGTGTCCAAACTAGTTATCCCACATATCAGCTTGCAGGATGCGCTACAAATTAACCCTTTATGAAAATAAAATTAATAAAACAAACCAGCCTGTCCCTACTGGGATCAATATTCAAGATTCCTCATGCAGCAGCATCACAATAATTTTGAAAATTTGTAACCTTTATTGTGTTTTGGGATTGTCAACAACCATATGCTGACTTAATTATGTTCTTCAAAACCCTATGTTCTCCTGTCCAGAATGTTTAGGAACGCTGCTGTGTTTCCTACTTGCAACCTTCTTAGTGTCAAGATTATGCAAATAAATTTTAGGTTTTCTTTTTAAATTTCTGTGTTACACTAGTGTGCACACTGCCACGTGTTTCAGTACACATTGGCAATGGGAAGTGTTCATGTTTTATACTGCACTAGAAATTAGAAAGTCCAGAACAAAGCCCGGGGGCACACAGCTAGGGACAAAGATGGATACATAGGATGTTATCCCAGTCTTTGCCAAATGCTTGCAATAGCAATTTGAAGGGGTCCCCGAGGCCCAGACTCTCATTTCACTGGTCCTTCCTTTCTCTTCACTCAAAGTTCATGTGCAGAGTAGAATTACAAGGAAGTTTTAAACCTCTTAAGTGATCTGCAGAACAGCCAGCGGAGCTGGAATGCGGGAGATGTCTAAGCGGTTTGTGAACCTGGCTAAAGAGGAGGGCAGCAGTGTTTGTGAACAGCTCTCACCTGGAGTGCGGGTCGCATTCCTCACTACTCAGCCCCAATGCAGCTCGTAGGCTGCTACCTGGCAGATGTGTTCCCTTAGATCAAGTCTTTTGCTGCTTAAAATACTTGATTCAAATCCTGGCTCCACCTGGCTATTCAAATCAAAGGCTACAACTTTAAGGAAGGTATGTTCCGTTTATTTCGATTTTAACTGGCAAACAGGTGATCGTAAGTAAGTTATGGGATGGTGGGAAGAAAGTATCTCTAGTAATCTCTGTAACAATAGGCAAAGAAAGATGCCATTATCTGATTTAAATTGATTAAACTCTTCTCTAGATACATATCATGTCCAACTAAATAGCATCTCCTTTCTGCTCAGGACCCAAATGTGGCCTTTTGTTCCCTAATACAAGTAACAAAGTGCCATTTGCTATTACCATTTGCTCAATTCAGGTTCCCCACCAGCGTCAAATTTTCCTTTCTATTGAAAGGCAGCAAGTCCTTAGACATTTTTTTAAAAAAAAAAGGTTGAAAAGCACCCAACCCATGGTGATATTCATGTTGATCACAAATTAAACAGTGCATTCTAAAATGGAAATTAAATGTGAACTACCATTTACAAGGAGGATGTTCTGCAATAGAAGCTATTGCTGATCTGTAACAGCAGCAAATCAAGGGAAAATACTAACTTCAGCATTACTCATCCTGAGTAACTGTGTAACCTCTCTTTCACGCCTGTGCTACCAACCTTACACATGACAATCAACAAGTGCCACAAAGTTAGATAAGAAGAATTCCCAGGGCAGAAACTTAAGAAGGAGGAACAGGAATATGCAGTAAAAGTTTATACCACAAAACACAGCCTAACTTTCCCTCCAAATTCACATGGTTTTCATCTTTCAGTGAGAACCATTTTTGTAAAGACCAGTCAGTTCTGAAATAATTCCTCTCAGGAATAAGAAGCAGAACAAAGACCCTGACTGTGCCCTAAGGAATGGCTCTATGAATGGGAGGTATCCTCCAGATGATCTCCATCGCGATTTTTATTGCACAGTTGCGAAGCCCTCCTCAACATTCAGCTTTTTTCATACTTCCTCCTATTATTTCTAGTTACACTTTACTAAAACTGTACATACAACTGCAAAGCCTTAAAAGTTAAAACCTGTTTTCTGAGTCTCTTGACCCATAATATACTAAGTAATTAATAGCCATCTACTTAACCAGCTCCCTAGGAGAGAGGCTTTAATAAGTAGGAACCCCAGTTCCCATTTTACATCAGGCACATTGCCATCAACACTGGCTGGTACTCAGCGTGGTCATATGGATGATGACAGCATAATGGATCATGTGAGATTTCTTGGTTAAAACACTATTTATTCACTATGAAGCATTATAAAATAATCTCATCTTCAGGGAGATGGAAATTAACAGGTGAATGTTCTTTCCAGCCAGTGGAGAAACTGGAACACTGATGGAGGAGTTTTCACAAACCATCCCCACACCACTGCTCTCTTGAACTTCAACCTTCACTCTGCATCAACAGTAACCTCACTGTGAAATGCATTTTTTTTTTCTTCCAGCCTCTTTACTTAATGCATCCATGATGTATGCTACAAAATATATGCCAGAGTTTGCACAGTTGGCTTGTTTCATATTGCTGCAATTTATATACTAAAATAAAAGCACTGGTAGAAGAACCAATATAAATCTCCTACATACATTACTGAAACTCAAACACCTGCTTTATTGCATACAAGAGATAATGATCAGATGCAATCCCACATACATCAGCCATACAAGTAACTGATGAATTTATACCTGCAGTACATTAACTAAATGGAAACCTTAAGAGGGTAGGAAATTCCTTAACTTTCATCTTTCCTGGTCAGGCACTCTAGTGTTTAACTAGGCGAAGAGACAATGCCTTAGACACTTAGGCCACCAAATCTATAAGAATAATAAGGAAAAAATGTCCCACTAGATTCTCAGGACTAGATAACAGTCTAGATCCCCACCAAAGCATGACAGTGCATATGCTGGACACCCCAGATCCACTAAAAATATATGCATTATAAATTAAAAGAAGACACATTAGAGATTATACTGCGCTGTTCAGATGAATGGTGACAATCCAGGGTAGGTAAACACTGATACTTTGGGAGAGACAGACTTCTGGGACCAGGACCCACATGTTGGGCTGCTCAGGCAACACCACAGCACCCTGGAGAACTGCCAAGGGAGCTGCTCGCTGCTCTGCCGCAAACACACCCAGAGCACAGCCAAAGCTCCTGCGCTGTGTCTCCCCCTGCGCCAAGGGCTGAGCAGCCCCCAGGAGAAATTCAGCTAAGGCCAGGGGATAATCACAGGGCGAAAAGTTGAATTAACCAAAGAAAAAAAAAAATCCCCAGTAAGGCCCAGAGTTAGAGTTAGGAGAGACACTAGACCGATCCCTCCACAAGTCCTAAATGGAGTCAAACCGCCGCAAGGCCAGATGCAGCCAAACTGCCCTGCCAGGATCCAACAGAAATTTTTGTTTGAGTAAGGACTGAAGGATTTGGCCTCACAGCCTAGTTCTGCCTTTACTTGTAAATATACAACTCCCTTTAACTTCAATGGGAACTGCACAAAGACAGAACTGGACTGTAAATATTTATAATTCAAGTTACTTGGAGAAAAAAAGAACCCAGTATATTTTGTTCTCCGGTTCTAGGCAGCCAGAAACAAACCTGGAAACACAGCCATAAAACGTAACTCTAGATAACTGGGAAACAAAGACTGATACTTATGCAACATAAAACGCTAAGCAAGCGCTATGTGTTGTAGAGTATTTAGAAGCACTTGCATTTGCCATTAGCCCAGCAAATCCTTAACACTCAGAGAGTAGCTCTTTTAAAATGATTAATCTCAAAGCTGAACAGATTGTACAGAGATTAATAAAAATGAAGGTTTTACAGATGCGAATGTGTGATGAAAAACAGAGCAGCTTTTGAGAGTTGTATCAATCTAAGTGGTTATAAAAAAACTCATAAAAGATGACATTCTAATCTGAATATTTTAAAAAATAATCAAGCTGCAATTTCTCTCTCACACCATTTTTACTTTGTTAAACTGAAATTGTCTGTCTAATGTATAAAGCAGCTACAACTTAATCTGAAGAGTTAAGCTTTTTATTATTATTTCATAAACCAAAAAAGGGAAGCTTTAGGGCACACTGAGGAGAGTTAGAAAATTTCAGATGAAACATGAATACACATTGATTCATGAGATTCAGACTTGGAAGAATAAAAAAAGCCAGAAAGCAAGATTACATAAAACAGGCACCACATTAAGCTTCAATTTAATTGTGTTTCAATGCAGGAACAGGATTTTTAGGGTTTAGAAACAGAGCCAAAAATGAGGCAAAGTGAGGGTGTGGGCTAGTGCCGTTGATAACAGAACATAAAGGAAGAGAAGTAGAGTTAATTCCCTCTGCTAAAATATTTACTATCCTAGCACCCTGGGAAAAAATACGTATGGAGACAGCAAAAAGATTCTGATTAGTTACATAGAAGATCATGTTTCTGCCTGTTTTTTGTCTAATTCTATTATAGAGTGTGGAGTATAAAGCTGCATTTTAATCTGCACTTTCCAAGGCAAAGGAATATTTAAAAATGCGATTGCACGGATTACAGCCCTTCTGCCATCTTCAGTGAGAAAACCAGCTGGTGGATGAAAGGAAGGCACTGGATTTTCAGGGGACCCTAGTCTCTCCAA